GGCGGTAAAAATATGGGTAAAAATTAATGAAACTCAGTTCTCGAGGCATGGTTCAAGGCAACAGTTAAAAAGGATGATGAATTCATTTACGCACCGATGCCACATACCAGCGATATCGTCAAGTTTATATAACCTACTATAACCCTCACGATGAAGATGATGTGAGGAGTCGAAACGCGTAGGTGAAATAAGGGCTTCACATCATCCTTCTTAAACTGTTGCTTTGAACCATGCCTCAACAACTGAGGATCACTAACTTATCCAAGCAGGTAACAAATACCTCCTTCCACAGCTATTTCAAAATAAAGGTATTTACTTTTACAAAACCAAGAGGTAAAGACAGAATCTCCAAACCTTACATGATAAATCCGTCTAAGAAATATCTGCATGAAGTCATCTGCATCACAAACTACAGACCGACATTGTATTTACCTTTGACTACAGACCGTTATTGTATTTATCTCCAGAGGAAGAAACGTATGCGCAACTTCAAATTCTGAAGCTAGTGGCTGATATTTGAGACCAGATGAAAAACTTTTGTCCTAAAGCAAGAAATTCAACCTACTGTGTTCAGTTCTTCCATCGTGTGACCGTAGATGAACTGCAACATTAGAATCGAGATGTGAAGAGGTCAAACCCTAGTAAATGGCTTCGTAGATAATATCATGAACTTCAGTTTGAACCTGCCGTTGACTAAAAAAATGGATAACATATAGCAGGATAAATCGAGGTCCATAGGTGCAAACGTCCCAATCAAAAAACTAACCGAAAACCCTATCCTCAGTAAAGAATAAGACTGTTTTCATGACCATAATTACGGCTAAGAATACGAATAACTGTTGAACATTCAGCAGGTGATAAGTGATAAGCAGTTTTGACCAATTTCAAACGTCGATATGGCCTAGCACTGGAAACGCTATTGCAATCATGAACTCTAAAGGGTAACCGGATCTGACTAGAGTGTTGCAGTGCAAATACCGCGGGAAGGATGACCTGTCACTCAAGCTGGGGGAACCTTGTAATCTGCGAATTTGCGATCAACCATTTATTTTGTCACCATCAGGAGCAGCTGGTGTCGTTTCTAAGAAAATACAAGCATGAAGAACCCATATAGGCCTGAAAGTAAACCGGCCGTTGGGGGACTACTGAAGGATATAAATTCAAACCATGTGAGACGCAGACTGAAGTAAACACAGTGCGTGCAATGGAGTTAGAAAAGAGTGCCACACATTCATATGCAGATAAACAATAAGCAATACCTTTACGCATCGCGCTAACACTTTATAGGGGTTGATGAATTTTATCAAAGAAAGAGAAGATAAAGCCAATAAAGCGCAACTGTGGTTGCTAAAGGTTGTTGAATTCGAAAATTACTTCACAGTAAACGAGGAGATCACGTCTATTTCTGAACTGGCTTAAAACAAATCACAAATTACATCATACATATGCATAAACTCAGTAAATAAATACAAAGTCCGTTTTTAAAAAATTAATATTTGCAAACAGTTTAAAAGTGAAACCTCGTGGGAAACGACCCTTTGGATACGGATCCATTGCAAGCTCAAATGTTTCGCAAGTTACATATAGTAAAACTGAGTACAATAAACACAGTCAACTATGCTTATACAAAACTGAACTGAACTTAAACTCTACTATATCAAGTAGGTGTAGGTCAGCTTTTGAAGCGTGTAGCTGGAAATTAAAAGGAACATTCAGCCTCTGTTTCATGGATAACTAGCCAGTGACTTTACTGTGATGCTCCTTCTTCCAACTGTAGTCAAGGTGACCAATAAAAAATCTGACATAACAAGACCTAGTTTCAGCTATCGTTTGCTCCGAAAAATAAGATTCTCAAAATCATTTGGCATTTTTCTTGAAAGCTGACCGTTGTCTTGATTTGCAAGTTTTCAGGGAATCTAAGCACTGGTTTCGGGCTAAAACGATAAAGTTAACAGACTCTTACTGCATTTAAAAAAATGTTTGTACTTGACTGTTTAAACAATTTTTTACAGAACCAGGTAGGGTGCGATTAATGTTGAGTTTAGAGCAAAACCAGCAATGAGCTCACTTCAAAAGTAAGGAGACACAAGCAGAGGAGGTCAAATATAAAACACTGTACCTATCCCGCTCCCGTAATTAACAGCCTTGATTGTTTCAGAGTCATGGCTTAAGCTGGGAGAACGTATATATTCCAGGCGACGGCAAGTGTCCATAAAGTTGACTTCGGTACGACTGCCAAAGTACAGTATTTGTGATTTCGGTTCAAAAGTGAAAATTTAAAAATAAGAATTATGGCACAACATGATGTGCTCGGCCAAAAAATGTACAAAAACACGGTTAATTCATGATCAAAGCAAGAAAACTGGTCGATCAAGTGATTTACCAGTAAGGCTAATCTTTAACGGGTCTTCTTTAAGGTAACCAGGGGTGATTTCCGTAGTTAGTCCTTTGGTCCGCAACTGTTGTGTCCTTGGGAGTCAAAGGTGTGTTTTTAGCCTATGCTGCTGGTTAAATAGTTTTTTGCTTGCGTTGTGCATCAATCAATCATGCTTTTATGCATTTTTCAGTATGATATTGCATAAACGCATGAATTAAATAGGGCAACCTTCGGAACGTGTTTTGCTCAACGTTATTTTTTGCTGCTTGGTCGTACCGCAGCCGTAACGTCAGAATAAAATTAATTTACTTCCACTAGTTTCTGTCAAGATACTTGTATGCTTTGCACAGCCACGTTTACTCACAATTTCTCCAAACATGTCAAAACCGGAGCAATTCAGAGCTGTGCGATTCCAACTCTTTCACTCGTTTTGGCAAAATACCCTTCTCAAGGCAATAACGTTTAACATTCATCGCTTCTTCCCTTGAGCAATAAGCTCACGCGACGATGTCTCTGTGCAAGCACTCACAAATACAGATTAACAGGTCTATGACACGGAAAATAGGAAAAACAAGGTGCATTATTACACTGCCCATTCCAGAGATGAAAAGAATAGCCTTCAAAACTGTCAATAACTTTGACTCACACGATAGCTGGTCAACTAAGAACAAAATGTAAATCTTGAATAAAAAACTAATTCGCAAAATATATGGTATCATCTCATTTCTTGTTACTCAAACGTTTTCTGGCTTGGTTTAACCGATAAACAAATGGCAAAACATCTGTGACTCGTACACCCGTCATCCGATTAGTCGAAGACCCCGGGTGGAGAATGCCTTGCGCAAAGTGCCTTGAAAAACTCCGCTCGAATTTACAGTTATCTTCATGCAAAAATGCTTCGAAGTACAGATATCCGAGAGAGCCTTGCTGAACAGTCGTTAATTTTTCAGTCTGAGAAGTCACACATGTGATGTTTACGCACATCTGGTGAATGCTTCCAGAAAAAAGACGAAACATCCACTACCTGACGAACCGCCTGACAGAAGACCTAAGGGATGGCCAAGATTGACATAGGGCAAGAGTATCGAAAGACACTGTTAAAGACTTTGGTTGTGTTCTGAAATAACCTAAACACCGACAAAGAATCGGGAAGATTAGAGACAGTGTCTACCGATGTTGACTATGCGGCCAGAAAGGATAGGCGATCATCGAAACCGATGTACTGAATGTTTTACCAATAAAATTGACGAACTAAATGAAAACAAATCGCCTACTAATTCGAAACAAAAAGAACATCTCAATTATGTCAATTAGGCAATTCAGCAAGTCAATTAATGCACTGCTATCTAGGCTAATTTCTAAATCATTCACAAATACACAAGATCGATTACATTTCCTCGTGCATAATTACAGAGACCTGTGCAGGCGACGAATGAACGTACGACCAAGAAAAACGAAAGCATCTCGAACATGAAATAATGCTTGATTCGAATTAGAAAATGGTACTCAATTTGTATTAGTTGGAATATTTGAGGAGCATGGTATGGTGGAGGGCGGCGCAGGCTGAGAAGACGAACGCAGATTTCGTACCTCGTGGCAGCTGGAATTTTTCTCGAGACTGGTGTCGTCCTCTGCGAGCCTTAGATGACTACGACTACACTGTCTGCAGTCGCATCGGCCCAAGGCAAGAGCCGCGATGATCTTCCATATACAATGTCCAACAAAAGCGACGTCCGGCTGTAGGTCACTCAGTTTGGTCTGCTGGTCATTCGATCGTACATCGCGCTGCGAATCGAGGTGCCCTTTCCCATTCTCGGTGGCAACGCTAGCGTCGTCAGTCTTCTTTCTTTCGCCATCCTGCTCCGTCGAGGTTCCGGTCGGTGACGTTTGCCCATCGACAACTTCGGCTGATTTCTGGCACTCATCTACGCCCTCGTTCTGTAGGGAGCAAGGCAAATCTCATTTCAGAACTAACTCGTTTTTCAAAACTCAATAAGAACAGAGTACATAAAATATTTAGTAGTACGGTGTACATATGATCGCGTAAATAAGATATTTTATTAGGAGCATACTTGTACACCAATTTTTATTGCTACATTACCCAAATAATTCATATCAGAAAATTTCCGAAAAGAATACATTTTGTTACCGAAAGAAAAAAGAATTGCCTGTGATCAGCGCAACATGTTAAGACGCATTATTATGTTTTATAATTAAAACAATGTAAAATATAACTGAAAGTATTAAAACAGTATTAAAAGCTAAGCCGTTATCGTTGAACGCATGTTAATGAAACTCGTTTAGGCTTTCTCATAGATCCTTGTGACAGACGACTTGACTTTAGCAAACGAATCAGTGAAACAAATTACAAGGCACAATGAACGCCCGATATTCTGGGACGATTTTCAACAATCATTTAGGCTTATTCGCACGGTTCTGTTTTTTCTTTCTACATGTCTATAGGACCATTCCCGCAGGCAACGGGTCTACGGAACTTGAACAAATGCCGTGAATAGAGGCGATACCACATTTGGGAGTTCGGCTGACGAACAAAATTCACTGTAGTACAAACAAGACAAACGACGGCATAATCTCTACTAATCTAAAAGGAAATCCATCAACTCTTCCCAGTCCATAGGAAAGTACGCTCATTGCTTCAGAAAGTAAACGGGTACTTCAATATACAAATTTCAACACACATCACTCCTCACGTAACAAACGAAACATGCGCACTTTCTTAATCTATAAATTGCTACTTAAATCACCAGTCATTAGCAGATAATGATCCAGGTAAGAAATGGCGTGTCAGAATACATTAAGGAACAATTTTTTTCAGCTTTTAAAAACTGGCATGAACCCAGCTAATTCGGTTCTGGTAAACGGAGTTAACACTATTCAATAGGTATTTTCGGGCAGCTCTGACAAAAAAATATACTGATTAGAAATCAGGAAGGAAACTCGGAAATCACAGAATATATTAACTGTCCAGGAAGGAATAATGCAGTCATTTCGCAATGTCTCAGACTGTCTGAAGAAAGAAAGAAAACTATACGGCTGGATAGAAGATAAAGATTTATCAGATAACATGAGAACGTGACGAGAAAAAAGTATTATTACCATCATTCAGAAGGCAAGAAAGCGGAAATCGCATAATCACTTCGCCAAAAATTATAGTATATAAGCATGGTCATACCACAGAACGTCGCATAATGTTTATAAGTGATTTACAAACATCGAAGAAATAGAAACATTTTAATCGTCAGGACACTGGACTCCATTACACTTTCGCGATTAGGCGCCATTTGTGACAACCCTAAAATAATGAAGCTTATGGTGCGGCGGTATATTCCTTATCAGCCAAAGGCGCTATATTAATTCTTTCTTCTACGGTTATATCTATGGACCGTACGATATTAACTAGAAAGCTCAGTTGTTTTAAGTCGTCTGTCAAATAACATACGGTAAAATCAGCAAAATCGCACTAGACGCATCTGAAATCTTCAGATGAAATATACATTATTCCTTGCTTTATTAACTTGAGCCGAGTATGGCATGCAGGCATAAGCCGCGTAATTCAGCCACCCATCTCTTTGACCTCATCAGCAAGTTCCCAACAACTAGATCGCAGCAACGCTTATGCGAAAGTCTTGGCTACCTTCAGCATGTTACCCGCATTTGTCGAGACTGAGGCCCATTTTTCCTACAAAAATCCAATTCAAAACTCATCTAGAACGAAATCGATGTCCGCTAAGCGAGAGGTGTTTGCAAG